TTATGATGTGCGAATTTTAAATTCCTATGTGTGAATTCTATGTATCTTTGGACGTCTTAACTCTAGGTTGTTCCTCATCAAATTGGTTTCAGAGCACATGATTACAAAATGTAGGCTATTAATTGGGTCAATACGAACGTAAGATAATTAAATTATTATAGTAAGTTGTGATTTTAGACAAAGAGATTGCAGTTATTATGAGGTTCAAGGTTATATTTCTAAATTCGATGCGTGGTATGATCTTAGAAAAATCTTATACTGATCTATACTTTAGAAGATTTTATTGATGAATGTAATATGCGGTTCTCAAAGCCTTAAATATGCCAAATCAAAACTAATGGGCCATGCTTACTCATTTTGGCGTAGTACTGACATTAGGCCATTATGGACTGATATAATACCAACAAACTTTTAAAAATCAACTCGAAGTGTGTTTGAGGCTGCTTGTGCTCATCCAGATAAGCCGCTTATCTGGAAATGCGGGCCGCAGGGTTCGATCCTTTTTGTGCTTTTAGTGTAAAAAATCAACTACGTTTTTGGATAAGCTGCTCAATCTGAGCCTAAATCAACTACATGATCAATCTAAGGATTCTAAGCAAGATAAATATAATGTGTTTGAGTAATAGGTCTTTTAGTCCAGCATTATTTTCCTTTTAATTATGTTATAAGATTATTTGTTTGACCAAAGTCTACAGTGAGAAATCTGCAATGAACTATACTATAATTGATCAAGAACATTACATAAAGTTTTATAAATAACTTTTGAATATTAAGGAACATTACAGCTTCTCTCCTATTAGGAGTGTCTCATCTATGTCAATTCCTAAAACAAACTTAGTAACATATTTGCTAGACCCTATAAAAATACACCAATGCAACGATTAAATATGATTTTATCGAAGAAACTATAGCTCATGAATATTTTGTTGCACATATTTTAATTGAGGAAAATAATTTATAGTTACAGTATGAAGATGTCGAATTTAAATCTGCACATATATTAGACTGTATTTATGCACCTAAAGTTATGCTTGATCAAGAAACATAAGTTGAATCTGTAACAAAATTGAACATAGGATCAAATTTGAATTTCTTATAGGAATTAGTCTATTTCCACATATGAAGATGAACCTATCATATTTGATGTGTTTGATGAATCAAATGCAAATTTGGATGATTTTTTTTTATTGAAATTAATTCTATGTGTTGTATGATCATATTGTTTTTGACTTTGCGTTTTGTTTATAGTTTTGTGGCATGCAAATTCAAATGAATGTTATAAGGAGAGCTCAGTGGTATCTATGTTTCATGGAGTTTGTTAATTAAAAAATGTCCTAAAAGAAAATCTTATATATAATCAATTTTAAAGGTGCATAATATATTACAGTTAATTTTTTAGCCATTTAGTTTTTTCTTAAATAGGTTGATGCCCATGTAGGAATATCTTAATTGTGTAGTTTTTTTGCTGGTATATTCATTATCATTTTGTTTTTTTAGGATTTAGTTTTATGTCATTATTATTTACCATCAATACATATGTTAACAATATAATATTTCATTATTTGCCTCATATTATTTAGACAAATTTGCATGTTTGCATGAGGATTTTTATAGGAAATTGGCTTTTATTATAATAAATATGAGCTTTTTGCCAATTTGAATGAGAGGTATATGGAGTTTGGACCCTAATGATAAAGTCATAAATCATAATACGTTTAAATTCAAAATTTCTATCAGGACTATGTAACAAATCAATTGTAAGAAAGGTAATGCCATTTAAAAGTTTACAGCCCTTTGGAACTTGCACATATAAAAGAGATTTTGGTATTTTGTCATTTTCAATGCATTTAATTTTATTTTGTTTCAAGAGTTTTTAAGATTCATCTTTTCCACCCTTTTGGTGAATCCACAGGACCACATCCAATCCCTTGCCAGATATTTTTCTACAGTTTGTTGATGATGCTATTTTGAATGATGAGATTGTGCCCATTGCTAATGGTTTTGGCGGATTCCAAAAATATATTGATTGCGGATGAGACATCTTCTTATGATGTCTCTTGAATTATTTATTTGTTGGAAAATAGCTGAAATCTATATGAACACAAAGTGAGGAAGAATAATATAAAACAATAAAAAAGGAACGAATATATTCATGATAGGGTTGGTCTTGCTCATGTGAAAGACAAAATTAGAGAGAGTCATCTTAGATGGTTTGGTCACATTAAATGTCGGCCATCTAATGATCCGATTAGAATAGTAGTTGTTTTAGATTCGACTTGTGTTAATAAAGGCAGACGTAAACCTACGAAGACTTGGGCTTGTTGTATAAAAAATAATCTTAATTTATTAGAATTAAATGAAAATATGACACTAAATAGGATGCAATGGAGAAAAAGGATTCATGTAGCCGACCCCACTTAGTTGGATAAAGGTTTTGTTGTTGTTGTAATAAAAAAGAGAACGAGCAGACCAAACAATAAATTTTAACCGGTTCACCCAATTGATGGATGACTACTTCTTATTGATGCTACATATTTTACTATGACTGCTTGTGGAGTGTTACAATCATAATTTATCTTGTCCTAAATAAGACATTGCTTTCTCTTTATAAAGAAAAAGAAATGGGCAATTGAAAAATGCAACATAATTTAACATTATTTCGCAAGAAGCCCAAAATCTCTCTTGATTTTTCTGATTTGCATCAAAAGCTTAATTTGTCCAAGGTGGTTTGATGAAAATCTGCATGCTTTTCTTCTCTCATTGAAAGCATCACAAGCAACATATTTTAGCTTAGGATTTGAGTGGTGCGTATGTAAATCTTCCTTTTAATTTTAGAAACAAGTGAAATATATTTTTTTCATGTATAGGTAAGACGACATACAACGAAAACAAAGCCTTAATCCGACTACGACTAAGTGTGGTCGGCTACATGAATCATTTTTCTCCATTGAGTTCTATTTAGTGTCATATTTTCATTTAAATCTAATAAATAAAGATCATTTTTTATACAATAAGCCCAAGTCTTCTTAGGTCTACTTCTGTCTTTCTTAACGTGTAAGTCGAATCTAAAACATCATAATTCGAATCTAAAACATATGTTCTCCTAATCAGATCATCAGATGATCGGCGTTTAATGTGACCAATACCAAACAATCTAAGACGAGTCTCTCTAATTTTGTCCTTCATTGGAGCTACACCAACCATATCACGACTATATTCATTTCACATTTTGTCTTGAAGTGTAAAACCACTCATCCGCCTAATCATTCTCATTTCGGCAACACTTGACTTAGTATTATGCTCCTCTTTTAAAGGCCAACATTCCGCACCATAGAGTATTGCAGATCTCATTACCATCTTATAAAATTTTCCTTTCAGTTAAGCGGTACTTTTCTATTACACAAAAAGCCTGAAGCATTCCTCCACTCCAACCAACCAACTTGAATTCTACTAATAACATCCCCATCTATCTCACCATCGCATTGAACAATAGACCCCATATATCTAAATCGTTCACACCTTTTAATAATTTGATCACCCAAAGTTACACTTCTGTCATTAGGGCTACTATTACTAAAATTACATTCCATGTATTCAGTTTTAGTTCTACTCAAATGAAAGCCTTTAGACTCCAATGTAGACGTCCATAATTCAAGTTTTCCCTGGGCTTTATCTCTTGGCTTATATACGAGAAGGATATCATCAGCAAAAAACATACACCAAGGTACATCCTCCTTTAAATGTCCAGTAAGACCATCTATAACTAAAGCAAAAAGATATGGGTTTAAAGTCGATCCCTGATGTAATCCATCAGAAATAGGAAAATATTTAATCAATCCTCCTTCTGTTCGAACACAAGTAACAACTCTAGTATACATATGTTTAATGACTTAATATAAGTCATCAATACATTTCTTCTCAAGAACTCTCCAAAGGATATCTTTTCAAGCTTATCCTAGGCTTTTTCTGAATTAATAAAAATCAAATGTAGGTCCTCATTATATTTGAACTTCTCCATCAAACTTCTCAATAAATGTATAGCTTCCATAGTAGACCTGCCCGACATAAATCCAAATTGATTATGAGAAATCTTTGTAATACGTCTTAGCCTATGTTCAATTACCCTCTCCCATAATTTTAAAGTATGACACATCAACGTAATTCCTCTATAATTTGCACACTCTTGTGCATCCCCTTTATTCTTAAAAATGGGGACCAAAATACTCTTCTTCCACCTCTCAGACATCTTTTTAGTTTTTAAAATAGTATTAAAGGGTTTAGTAAGCCAAGAAACTCCCAAATCTCCTAAATATTTCTACACTTCAATTGAGATATCATCAGGTCTTATAGACTTTCCACCCTTGATTTTTTTTTGAAGTCTCCTAAACTTTTTTTTTTAACTAATGCGATGGTAAAAATGAAACGTTTTATTATTATTAACAATATATGTCAAAATTGTAGTTAATGTGCTAGATATGTAAATACATAGAAATTTTTATATATTTACATATCAACACTTATACTTCAATGTTTACATACACATCACCTTAACCATCCACGGAAAGTTGCATTTCATTTTTTGAAGTTAAAATGGTGTTTTTTATTTCATGTGACATGAAAGATCTGAATAGTAGAACTATTAAAAAAAAAAAAAAGTTTAGGTGCTAGATATGTAAATACATAAAAATTTGGTGGCATGTATGTAAGTTTCCCCCAAGTTAAAATAGTGGTATGTCTGATGTGATTTGAAAAATATAGTAGGTATAAATGTAAAAATTTTAGGTGTTAACATATATAAATACATTTGAATTGGGCTGTATGTATGTAAATACCCCTTCTTTCTTTTTTTTTCATGCAGCGGAATGATTTTGGGGAATAATAAAATACTGATAATACATCTTCCATGATTCTCAACAGCTCTGCAAATTTTTTATCCCACCATTGTTTGTCTCTGTAAAAATCTGCGAACTCATCAACTTACAAACTTCTGCCAATTTCAGGCTCAAATCTCTTCATCAGACATGCCCGAAGGAGATGGATGCTTATGCAGGGTGCTTGTACTACCACACCAACGAGTTCGAATTCTGTCGCAAAGAGCAGGAAGCCTTTGAGATGGCTTGCCCATTGTCCGAGTAAGCCTCTTCCAATCAATAATTATATTTACATTAATAACCTGTGAAGTATTTGAATCTTCAAACCGCTGACTGCCTCTAAAGCTTATATTTCAATTACTTTTTATATCTGTATGATTCTTGTGAATTTACTGCTATCTGTGGATATTTTTGTTATGGTGCATTTACACGAATACCACTTATATATTTACATTTCTATAACACTTGAATCCTTAATATCACATCAAAAATATCACAATCACTCGCGTTTAAAAGTCTAATACCACTTCTCTTACATAGGTTCTAGTGTAATGAATGTAAATGTCAAATTTTAAGTGTTAGATATGTAAATAAACAGGAATTGAGCGGTGTGTATGTAAATCTTTTGAGATGGCTTGCCCATTATCTTGAGTAAGTTTGTTCCAATGGATTATTATATACTACATTAATAACCAGAGAAGTACTTGAATGAATCTTCAAGCTCTTGACTACTACTGAGCTTATATTTCAAATACACTTTACATTTCTATGATTCTTATGAATTTATTGATTAGAAGAACTTCATTTACTCAGCTGTGAATATTTATGTTATGGGGCATTTACATACATCACACATATTTTTTTATATATTTACATATCTAACACAATGTTATCAGAGCGCAAAGCGCAATAAATAAGATGCACCAGATTTTATTTTTGCTTCAATGCATAAAGTGTAGAGCGAAGTGGTGCTTTTATTAATCAGAATGTTAATAAGTTATATAAAAGTATTAATATATAAATAGACACATTAATAATTATAAAATATAAAATATGATTTAAAAGTTCATATAAAATACTAAAAAAAAAAAATGTAGTATTTAACTTAAAAGGTAAATATTGGGGTTGAACTTGTAAATTAAACATTTAAACATTTAGAGTAATTTCTAATAATTTGTTGTAATAATTAAAAATCTAAGAATTAAAAAAAATTGTAAATTAATTTTAATGTTTCACAACGTTTTAAGCAAAGTGGGTGTCACGTGTTTCATGTAGCACTTTTAAAAACATGCTATCTCAGATATGAGCGATTATTGCGTGCGGAGAGCGCACGCAGAGCTGCATGCGCTATCCGATCACAGCCGCAATGTGCGGCTGTGTT